GATACACATAAAGTGAAAGTTACATAAAGGTGGTTTATGCTGAATATTCTTTCCCTTATAATTTAACAGGGAACTTCTTAATCCTCATTTAGATGCACTTCCATGTGTAGAATGATAATCAGAAATCAATACACTCAAAAGCTGTCTTCACCAGGCCCAGATCCATTTCTCACAATACTGCAGTCTCCCAGAGCAACATCATTTTTTTGGCTAGGTGACACCAACAGCTGAGCTGACCCAATAGGGTGCTCCATGAGTGTAATCAACTAAAATATTCATTGAGTTATTAATTTATTCTGACTGTGTTGCTCCAGTCACAGTTTTCTCATGGACTGTATGCACATTCCCCTGGAAAATACTCCTGCAATGTGGAATGCAGGAATTTCAGGGGGGAAATGGTGGGGGGGGCTGGGATGTTGGGGGAAACAGTGTTTTTTTTCAACTTACCCTAACTAAAACATTTGTCTTTGTCTTATATCATTAATTACAAATTGAATAAGTAATTAATTATAATTAAATATTTATTTTTAATACAGTGATGGAAAAATGACTTTTTTCATCAAATTTTACTTTTGTTAAATTAATTATGTTATTCAAAAATATTTACTTGGTGATATTATTCTTTGCAAGACACTTGTCAAATGCCCAGGCTTATTTTTTAGCTGTTATATAATAAAGTAATTGAGTCATTTTAAAGACATTTGTATCTCCTGTTAATTTGTTTTAAATGTAAAGTTAAAATTAATCCATTTTCTTCATTGGAGTGAAGCAAAACACCGATAAATGACAGGATAAAACCTTGAGGATTGAATGGCTTATAAGACCTATAGTGGGATACAATCTTTTCATTCTTAGGTTGCTGGTTTGGATTCATTTCAAAACTGTACAGTAAAACCTGCCTTAGAGACCACCTGTCATAAGCGACTACTAGCAAAGCTCATGGAACACCACCGCTCTCTCATGTGCAAACCTTTGAATAAAGACCACCTCTTACAAGCGACCACTTTTGCTAACTGCCATGAGTGGTCACTCTTGGCAGGTTTTACTGTATTTGTCTAAGGGCTCATCCTTAGGTCATTGGTTCAAATCCGTTCTAGGGCAGTGAAAGTACAGTAGATATGGTTGTGGGTAGATTGGGTGTAATGATTTAATGGTTTTAATCCCGCTCTAATGAACTAGCATTCACATCACCCAAGGAAGAACCATTGCTGGCTGTACTTCGCAGGCTCAGAGAGTCCTAATTATGCAATGGGTGTGGACAACACACACAGCACAAGCCAAGTTCTGCAGCTGCAGGTCAGACTTCTCCACAGTCTCTTGACAACATGCCTCAGCTCTGATGTGGATGGCAATTCATCTCCATGCCCATTCAGTCCTCAGGTACTCTGCTGAGATATTAATTTGTTTCAATCAAAGAAACATTGTGATGAGATCTTTGGTTCCATATGATCCAGGAGCCATGGTTAGAATGGTCCCAGCTCAGTACTGGTTCTGTGGCAGAGCAGCTGGTAGGATAAGTGTTCAGCTGAGTGTCACATTTGGGATCTAAGTTCCCAGGGATAGAAGACAAGAGCCAGAACAGAGGGCTGGGTGGAAAAGTCTGTCTGGAGCAGGAGTGGTACACTAAAATGAGGCATCTATCCTTGGAATGTAACAAAGTTTATGGGAAGTCTTAACATTTTGGTGGATCTGGGCTATATAAACTTTATTTAACCCTTTGTTCTGCTTGAGATGATAGTTTCTGTGGCAGAGATACCTGCCCACTATATCAATTGGAATCAAATTGTCAACATCATTTAAATAGGCTACCAAGAAGCTGTCAGTTGGTAAATGACTTTTGGTCATTAGCAAGTTGGCATTGATCTAAACTAGTAATTTACAGTTGAAAAATGTCTTATTATTAGTTGTATATGTCTTTCAATTCTCCATATAGAGTCACTCATGTGCTACTGTGAAGATTTCCAATACAGTTACATCCTTTCCTACAATGCCTATAAGGTTTGGCTTGGTTTCTTTCACCATGTTTGCCACATCACTTGACAAACTAGTAAACTTTCCCTGGTGGGAGAATGACGCTGATATAAGTCAATATTTGTACAGCTACCTGGGTATAAAACAAATGCACAAGTGGAATGAATGCAACATGAATACAGAAAAATCGCTCTTTCCTTCTAAGTCCAGGACTGAGGACGACTGTTGAGAATCTGTGGGGGTGGTTTCCATTACCATGCACGCCACACCTGTTCTGTGGAAACTTGAGTATGGTGTCTTTCTCAGGCACTTACCTGAAAAAAAGAAAGATTCTGCTTTCAAAGGTATTTTTGCAGGTGAGCAGCCTTCTCTCAGAGACCATGTACGGGGAGAAGTTAGCGAGAGTTTGAAATGTCACAGCAGGAGAGCTCATTACGAGTAAAGATGGTAAGAATTGTTGGCCATAAGGACAACCTCAGAGCTTCTCTACAGAAACACTTCGCTCGTGGCAAGCTGGGGTGTAAATCTAACCTATACTAGCCCGCTGTGCACTGACTGACTGCATGGACCCTACTGCCGTGCACTGACTGTTCCCTACTATGCATTGAAATGGGAGTAGCTCAAAATGCACTAGAGAACTGTTTGTGCATGGCAGCAGGGTCCACACAGGCACTTTCTTCTCCTCAGGTTAGTATGGGGTAGATTTATGCCTCAGCTTGCCACAAAATAAGTGTCCATGTAAAACAAGCTCCCAGAACCTACAGATCAAAACATATTTTAGTTGCTTGGGGCCTCTTTCTCTTCCTTATGACTCTTCCCCCATCCCTCTCCCTGCTTGAGCACACTAGTTACAAAATAACCATTCATTTAAACCATTAACCAGACACTTCCAACGTCTGCTCAACATTTCCAGTCTCCTTTTAGCTAACTTTCAAATCTCCCTGTTGCTGGTTAGATGAGTGTGAGTGAACTGTCACTCAAAATCCCTTCCTCTCCCCGCAGCCAGTCCTCGAGAGAGTGAACAGAATTCCAACCTCAAAAGTTCTTGCTGTTCTTATTAAACAGTGTCTTCTACTGTTTTTTTAACTGAAAAATAGATTATACTAGAATTGGGGGGGCAGGGGGTTGGTTTCCATGTCTGTAGACAAATGAGAATGTGTGAGAGAGGCAAGGGAGGGGGACAAGATGGGTCTTTCAAATGAAAACTGTCTATGGTGAAGCAACTAAATTTTCATTTTATCTATCAGGCTATTAATAAATATTCATAAGCCTATTAACTGAAGCCCCATGAGCTAAGACATTTCTGAGTCCTCATAATTCAAGGTTTGCATCTACTCTTCACCCCCTACTTCTTGAATCTATTCCTAATCAAAGTGCCTGCTTTCCCAGACATCACCACTTAGAGAACATTACTACAGCCCAAATAAAATCAGACAAACACTGATAAATGTAGCCAGCTTGTGACTGGGATTTTTTTTTCTTCTCTAAACAACTACTTTGCCATGCAGTGGCATTGTCAGGATTACAGATGTAAAGGTCTCGCTGTGTTTGTTATTGTACCATAGATTTACATCTGAACTCATAAAAGCTGAAATCATTGCACTCAACTTTTACAATAATTTCAGTCTAAATAGAAGGGACTTTAAAACTGAAGAGGCTGCTCTCTGTAGCAACAGCAGGATTTTATTATGACAACTGGGGTAGAAGAGATTTTCTCCTTCCAACCAAGGAGTGATTTCTTTGTGAATATATACCTAATAGAGAAGTATTTGGGGGCTGGACAGTATATAGTTGGGACCTCCAGGGAATGCTCAAGAGATTCCACAAGATGTATTAGTGAGTAAGCACAGACCTGAGACAGAGCTTCAGCATTGTGGGCTAAGCTGAAGGTACAATACAAAATAAGGTCCTGACCACTCATGGTTAGAAAAGATAACAGGACTCCTTTTGTAAAAATAGGATGTAAAACAGTCCTAGTGTCCCTGGAGAAATGCACACGGGGGCAACATTTAGTTACCTAAAATCGTCCTTGTGGTTTATTGACTTTCGGTGCACACTGCAAGGTGCATCTATTGATGAGGAGTGCTGCTGAGGTGGACTTTAGAGAACATTCAGATTTGGGGGATGGCAGTAGAAGAATTGTGTGTCCTGTCAGCAGTTTATGTAGATTATGCCTCAAACCCTTGATAGGTGCTCCTTTTAATATTTTATAAATCTAAATAAATCAGTGAAATAAAAAAGTTTGAAATAGAGAAGTTGAATAACAGTTGTATAGTTGCTAGCTCCGAATGACTGTTGCGTTGCACTCCAGCAGTGGATAGTGTGAATGAGTATTCCCATTTTACAGGTTGCGCTCTTCAATCCTTCATGGATGCACAAAATTAGTGGCCTGGGGGGAACACAAGACATTAATAATATACTATTAAAGAACTTTAAAAAAACAGGATATATTATTTAAAGGGAAATTTGAATTTCTGGAGAATAGTAATAAAAAAATCAAGTAGACAGTGTCCTTTTAATTGGCAGACCTCTTGATGTGCTGCTGTAACATAATTAATTGCTTTACATCCAAAAAAGTACCAAAACATTATATTCCTAAGCCAAGCATTCATTCAACATGTTTTCTTACTACAGATATCAAGGAACAAAATTTTCTATTATTCACCAATTGCTACTATCCTCATATTTAATTATCCTAATGAATTTTCAATAAAATCACTTGTGATATGTTTAGCAAAACTAAGTTTTCACCTGTTGCTTTTAGTTTTTGTACATGCATATTCTCATTTGAAAGTCAGGCTACAGTTGGTACTGATTGTGTGAAGACATTTTTGAAAAGGTCTTAAAAATATTTAAGGGTCTAAAAGAGAAATATGTTCTTGCATTAAAGGCCTAGGACTGTTAAGGAAAGCAGGCTGGTTGAGTAAGCTGTGCCTGTACATTCCCAGGAGAACTACTGAGTTCAATTGCATTACAGCTGGTGCTGACTGTGTGCACTGACAGCAGGAGGTTTGCTGAGGGATTGGCTGCCCTCACACTGGATAACATTTTTGTATCTTCCATTTCAGCATTTTTGTACAGGTTATTGTGAGTCTGAGGAATTAACTACCTAGCACAGACGAAAATCCTGGGAGGCACTGAAAGGTATGATGCTTTGTGGCTGAAGTCGTGTAAAGGAAAGACATGTTGCATGAGATATCAGCTTCGTTAACACCTTGAGAACAGCATTATGACTTGGCACTCGACATAGTGTTCAGAAGAATAAAACGTTTAATGGAAGAAGCATTTGGAGAAACAGTCTGCTGTGGTATGAGCTAACAATGGAAATCGTTAGATGGGCTAAAAACATAGTGCAGAACGGGGCTGTGAGGAAACAGTGTTGCATAGTACATTCCCACAGACCATATGGCCATCTTTAGAGCCACAAGTATGACACACATCATCCAGTGACTCCCCAGAAATTCAATAAGTGGACTTAGCCAGGTGAAGGATGGAGAAGGCAAAGATCAGTGCTGTCTGTAAAAAAAAAAAAAAAAAAAAAGGTACAATGAGAAAAACGCCTGGCTGGTAAAGGCCTATAAATAACTGGTTGCTGGAAAAGCAGGAACTTAGACTCCATGGGTACAGTGCCACCACCAGAAACAGGAAGTCCAAAAAAGGTAACCAACCTCAGATAGACCACAGGCCACAAGGGAAGCATGCAGGACAAAACATTGGGTTGTGGGCCCAGAAGCCTCATGTAAACAGCCCAGGGGGAACAATAGACTATAAGAGAGGGATATGTTATATAGAACAATGGACAGAAAATAACAGCTACAATCTGTGATATAATGAAAAGTATACACATTTCCAGGCATAGGCAGATGCACACATTTTCTGATAGCATGCTTTCCCTTCTGAACAGTATGCCACCTCCACATTGCCTTACAAAGTTCCAGTCATTTCTCAGTTGCAATTTAGCCATGCCCAAACAGCTTTTCCCAGTCTCCTTGTTTATGTGGGTCTTCAAAGGCATGATGCTGTGCTTCTTTGTTGTTCTCTATTGATCTTAACTGCCTGCCCAGTTCTGTTACTTACATGTTTTCTCTCCTTGACAATATGATATGACCATAAAAGAGAAGAGAGGTGGAGTTGGGTTACTGTTTGCACAATTGTTGTTTTTTTTTAAATGCAAGATATGGCCAAGGAGGTGTGATTTTTTTACACAGGCAATTAATGATATTAACCCTGTGATATCTAGAGAATGACAAAAAGTACAATAGAATTGAATAAAGAAGTCCAGTGCCAAGGCTCCAGGAAACACATTTCATGTCCTTAAGCAATGAGAGCTGATCACTAACTCAGTCACAGATATACACAGGAGCAGCTCAATCATTTTCCTTTCAGTACAGGGTATGACACACACAAAGAATCTCCACCATCAATCTTCTTATTTCCCTCCTCCCACCATTCTACAGTCAGGTTCCTGCCCTTCATGAGTATATGATTCCATAAAACAATAGAGATTTTCTTCTCCTTTGCAGGTTTCAGCACTTTTTCAGGATATTAAGGAAGATAAATAAAGCTAAGAAGACTGAATAAGAGGATTAAAAAAGTAATACTGAATTTCTGATGACAGTTGATTTGAAACATCCAGTGTTTGGTGAGCAGATGGTACCTGACCATGTGACCTGCTCTTCAGCTCTACTTAAGCAGGTATGAGGAAAACATAGAAAATAAGCTTTTGAGTAGCAATAGATCTGATTCAACAGTTCTCCTTTGAGGGTCTATTTTTAGCCTCTCTCTGCTTATGAGTAAGTCAAGATATTTCCAAAAGGAAAACCATCAATGAGAGAGACATTCGATGCATTTTCCACTTAACTATAGCTTTTGTGAAACATGCCATAATATGATGTGCTAAATTAAGACTTTTATTTATAATGCATCATCACTGCTGACTTGGGCTGGACCCTGCTTGTTTCCAAAAGCAAACAAAACTGGTTGTGTTGTGCCTTCAGGGTCTTCCGTGCTCAGTTGTCTTTATTTTAAGTGTCATTCTGTACAGTCAAGCATATACATCTACTGCCCTCTTTGCAAATGCGAAATCATTTTGTGTTGTACAAGTGTTTTACATCAGAGAACTCTCTGGGTTGGCTAGATTTCAGTTAGTCTCATTCTTCTGTGGTCTCTCAGTTTTAGTTACAACTGAGTCATCCCTGAAAGCCTGCGAGCACTTAGCCATCAAGAACTCTGACTTCCACCCACCTAGAAGATTCAAAAAAAGCTTATGTAGCTCTCTAAGGAGAAAAATAATACTGTAAGGTGAAAAGAAAACCCTGTGCTACTGAACTTCCATGCAGCTCCCTGGAACACCAAGGAACATATTAATATAAAACTGTTTCATTCATGTTACACTAGACATAAGTGTCTGTGAGAGAGTGGAAAACATACAAAATTATCTCTTCCCAAACACTTTAACCTTCCAGAAAGGAAATGCAAAATAATTAAGAGTTAATGAAAGATAATTAAGAGTTAACAATGCAAATTGCAATACAAGATAAGGAGAAAATAGAAACAGCGCAGCACTGTACTCTGTCACTCTGACAGCAACAGGATAGAATTATGATGAAGAAATAATTATGATGTGTAAAGAATCTGAAAGGAAAAAAAGAACATTATGTAGTGAACTGAGGTTAAAAACTACATGTGAAAGGGAGAAAACAAGACAAGTCAAATATTAAATTTACAATGAACTGTGCTGGGTATTATTTTCTTTCATTTACTTTACCTTGCTTACAGTAGGTAGAATTTACTACAAGCAAGGAAAAATAAAAATGTGATTTTTTATACAAAATAATGTGTGGGATTCAGAGTTCTAGGGCTTATTGACCTTAAAAATCCAGGACCAAAGTATCAGCTGGTATAAATAGGTACAACTCATTGATTTTGATGCACTCATGCACATTTTTTAGACCACCTGATCATCCAGCCCAGAAATCTACAAAGATCTTTTTTGCTCTTCCATACATGCCAAATCACTGTCCTGGAAGATGTGGGCACTGAAAAGTAACAAAGAGAAGGCTGTTTCATCAAAGTGATTGTATGAACTTGCAGTCAACACACAGGCCTAGAAAGGGAGAACATTGCATAAGTTCTAATACCCAATGAGCCACTGAATCATTCTTTGATTTCAGGCAAATCATTTGATCTTTCTGTGCCTAAGTAAACTCAGCTAGCAAAAAATTAGGTAAAAAAAATTACTGATAATAGCCAGCTGTTGTATCTGATCTGCTTCAGCTTTCTATGTGTAAGTAAATTAACATCCATAATGTCTAATAAAATATAGACAAAGAGGAAGACAGAAAGAAATGAAAATTGACTGAATTGGAGGCAAACTACCAAAGTAGTGAAATAAATTAGGGTTGGGCAGATTGTAAATTACTGATCATTCTGAAGTGCCTTGCATAATAATGCAACAGTGCTTACTAATACCTGATGGAAAAAATAATACTGTTATATTTTTTTGAGGAGCTGGTAACAGGGTTGGAGATGTACAGTTAGAGAAGGACATGTGTCCAGGTGTAGCGAGGCGGTGGGATACCCCACAGCCCCGCTGAGGGCTGAACCTCCCCTAACACCAATGTGGGCGGAGCCACTGGGTCCGGCGCCCACCCCTCAGAGGTCATGGCGCCGACACGGAAGTATAAAAGCCCACCTACAGAGCTTAGTGGAGAACAAGCTGCTGGAGAGAGCAGACGTCTGTGGACGAGCTCCTGCTTGGGAGACAGCAGCAGGCCGCAACCAGCCTGAGGACTCACCAGGCCAGCTGAGCCTACCCCTGACCCGTTACCCCGAGGAGGACTGGCTGACCTTCCCCTTTCCAGCTACCCTGAGGAGGAGCCGAGCCTGCCCTTTCCAGCTATCCCGAGGAGGAGCCAAACCTACCCTTTGCTACCTACCCGGAGGAACCGATGCTGGTGGAGACCACCGAGGGCACTAGTACGACCCAGGTACCCTACGAGGGGGAGTGTGGAAGTAGCCCAGGGGCAGCCGACCCCAGTCTGGCTGCAACACTGCCAGAACCTATGTCAGTGTGTTGCGCCCAGGATCCCCACTGACAGCAGCAAGTTTTCACAGCTGCTAGGGCCCCGGGCTGGGACACAGTGGAGTGGGAGGTCCTGCGTCCCCCCTGCCACCCACTCCTTGGGTGGCAGACTCCCCCTTTCCCTGGCCTAGAGAGGCTGGGACTACAAACCCATTGACTCAGCCCCTGCTTAAGGGCCTGGGCCCCTGACTATTTGATTGCTGCCCCACCCTGACCTAGGGCCTGGGCTGCTACAAATTCAATGACTCAGCCCCTGCTTAAGGTCCTGGGATCCTGAACTCTTGGCTCAGCCCCTGCTTCAGGGCTTGAGCCCCTAACCGTGTGTTTGCTGTCCCACACTACCACCGGACCAGGACTGACGGTGGACCAGAGTGAGGCGGTGGGATACCCCACAGCCCCGCTGAGGGCCGAACCTTGTCCGAGACTTCTGCACAAGGTTTTAATGTTTAAACTGGTATAAACACAGAGCAACTCCATATATTTTAATGGTGTAATGGAAACAAAATAAACCTGATTCATATAGTTTCCTATTAAGATTGATTCCAGTCCTGTAAACACTTACTCATGTGTTTGAAGTCAATAGAACTACATGCTTAACTTTAAACAAGTGAGTAGTCCCATGAATTCAAGTGGTTTAAGTAATCTAATTGCTGAAAGTGGAAAACTTTGATCTGATACATGCATTAAAATTCAATCAATGGGACTACCCTGTGCTTAAAATTATGCAGCCGTTTAAGTATTCTGTTGGATCAGGGCCTTAGTCTATAGCAGATCTGTACAGAAAAGCAGTTGGGAGGCTGCTAAAGCACTCTTAGAGATGGTTAACCTGCTGATTTGAACCTCATCATTTCTCAGGCATCCTTTGTTTGTTTTATGAAAACACTGGATTCCCCACAAAGGAGATAGCCAACTATTTGGCCTGCACAACAAGATATCAGCTTTGGCAACATTGCTCAAAGCTGGATTCCACTAAAGATTGGAGGCAGGGTTGGCTCAACACCAAAAGAATCCAAGGGAAAACCCTTTCTGCTCTCATTCCTAAAAAAAAAAAGAAGTTGTCACAGATCCTAGCAAGTGCCCCCTGGGATTGATGGGAGGGCAGACCAAGCTTCTGCTGCTCTGGCTCCCATGGGGTGCCTTAAGCTTCTGAAGCCTCAGCAGGCTGCAGCAGTGGTTCCACCCTTGACCTCTGGGTGCCGACTCTCACTCTGCTATCCCTTCTTGGAACGGGATCCTCGGCTCATTTGCCATAGGCCCTCAGTTACTTAAACACAATCCTTCTCCCAGAAAGTGTGATGCTTTTGATTTAGAGTTTGATGTAGGGGCACACAGCTGTTGTAAAGCAATCAATGCACAGACACTTTGCACACTCTAAAACCTTTATACTTTATCATATGTAAATCACACAAAACAGTAAAAACCACATGCATGTCACTTTCTATCTCACCCTTTCCTTGGGACTCCTTAGATACCATTAGTGTCAGGAAAATAGGCAGAGAGGATGTCCCCGGCCTCATTCAGACTGTCACATGGTGAGAGGTCTCTCCCTCATGGAATGGAGAAAATGGTTTCCAAGCAGAACAACTTCTGCCCTTTGTAAAGCCTTCAGCCCCCTGTGACAGCAGCCACCACTGCCAGCTTCCCCACAGGAACACAAACCTCTGCCAGTTATGGTGCCAAAGTGGTGACTTCTCCTCTGTTAAACCAGTTCTTCTGGACAGGGATTAGTCTTTTGTCTAGAGTAAATAGATTCCTAATGATTGGGTACTAAAAGTCAGCTACCCTCTATTGTTATTCATTTGCCACTGGCCTTTGGAATCTCAACCCAACATGGAGGCAAACAGACCACAGAGAAAGGAAAAGGCTGCACATTCAAAATGTATTCTGCAGCCTGAGACAGGCACATAGCATTCATAATCTCACACAGCATTCATTTTCACAGACATAGTCCCAAACATCATAGATGTCACCATAGTCAGTTTTATCAAAATATAATTGCTTCAGAAGATTCCAGTGAAATAATCTTGTGACAAAAGTGTATCAAGATGTTGTGAAAAATGTTGGCGAGAGATCAGTACTTTACTTTATTCTAATGCAAATGTGAGATTTCAAATATAGTCACATAGCTACCGTGTTTTATTAATATCAGTTGACTTTATTTTGCATCTGTATTTTTGTTGTAGTGCAGCTACAAAGTGATCTCTTGTAAAATCATGAGCTAACCAGAAGCTAATTCATGACTGCTATACAGCATAGGGATTCCTGCTCCAGTAAACAATCTTTAAGAATGTCTGGAGCCTCAGGAAAATTAAATGGATAAGAGAGGTGCAATACAGTGTGAGGGGTTAATGGGAAATCCACGTGGCATTTTAAAATGCCAGACAGAAAAAAAGGTGATTGAGTGGGTTAAACCAGAAATAATACACTATCCTGTTTGTTGATGATGACTGGATACAGTGTTATAGTCCTTAATACAATCATGACCTTGACATGTCACATCTGTATAGCAAGGCATTCCTTATTGTATCTTCTTGAGATGAGACATCCATCTGTCAGTTCATTGCAGCAGTTGTAGAGGAAAATATGTACCAGGGCTTATTATTTGACATACTGTTGACATAAAGAATTCTTGACTGGAGGGAATTCCCTGACTGTAGAAAAAACAGGATGCTGCACAACTTTTAAGAGACACACAGCCCCCTAATGAGCACTATGCCCAACTGTGGAGGAACTTGCTCAAAAAAGGCAGCTCTTGTCCAAGAGGAAACCCCAAAAGGCTAAAAAAGGAGGAGTAGATGAAGAGGGAGAATTCCAAGTACCGGGCATCCATATTGATTTAGGCAGATGTGACAGAGACAAACAGGGCTTCCCAGGAACAAAGTAAATGTTAACTTGTGATAGGTGTGTCAGCCTGATCTAGGAGAAAGGTCGCATACCTGAGCAAAAAAAAAAGTATGTAAATTGACTTTCTCAGATATGTAGATAGCAGTAAGTGAGAGTTGTTCCTTGAAGTGGGTTAGACTGGAAGAATCTAGGTATGAGGGAAGAAGTTCAAAGAAAATAGAAAACATCCCAGATATTCATCAAAATCTCAATGTGAATCTATAAAGTTTAACATTTTTATTTATTTTTCACTTTCACAGTCCTCTAAACTTCTGAGTTCATCCTCACACTAGAAGCCGCAATGCTGAAATACTACAAGGGACTGTTCTTGTAGCATTCTTTGTCTGCCCAGAAGGAAGCACTGGACATCTTATAGGAACTCCTGTTTCTGTGAGATTTCCAGCCAAAGACTGCAGCCTCAAGGAGTTTGGATAATTCACATGAGCATCAGAAATATTGGAAGTGATTATCCAAGCCAAAGCTCTGGAGCTCATCCATCACTACTTGTTATGCACAATTTTGTATTCTAAAACACGTTCAGTTCTTTCCTGGTTCTTCAGGCTGTGATGATTAAGTGGATCTTTGGTACTAAAGGTTGAGTGCCACTGGTCTAAATAATAGCTAATAATAGAAATGTTATAGAGATATGTGAGGAACAACTTGCTAAAATTAATTTCAGAGCACTTGATTTCTTAAGGATGCAACAGCCTCCTTTTCCTTAAAGGAGAGTATGCTTTAAGTAGAACAGTTTGAGGCTGCTTATGCTGCTGTCATAAAAACAGCCTTTGAAACACTGTGTGTGTGTTGGGGGGGAGACTTGAATATTAATTTAATTTGTTTTTGAACCAAAAATACAGAGTAGAATAGCTTGAATATTATTTTTGCATCATGTAAGAATCTTACGATTTTCACTCCTGGATGATGATGATAATAGATTATATATGGAATCCTAGAATTCGAGAAGTCATCTAGTCTAGTCCCCTGCACTTATGGCAGGACTAAGTATTATGTAGACCGTTCCTGACAGGTGTTTGTCTAACCTGCTCTTAAAAATCTCCAATGATGGAGATTCCACCTCCCTAGGCAATTTATTCCAGTGCTTAACCACCCTGACAGTTCTGAAGTTTTTCCTAATGTCTAACCTAAACATCCCTTGCTGCAATTTAAGCCCATTGCTTCTTGTTCTATCCTCAAAGGTTAAGAAAAACAATTTTTCTCCCTCCTCCTTGTAACAACCTTTTACATATAGATTACATACTAAAAGGTACACTTTTTTTTAACAGTGAGCTTGAACAAACTACCAAGGGAACTGGTGGATTCTACATCTTTTAATGTCTTCAAATCAAGATGTGTTGGGAAGATATACTTTAGTCAAACAAGATATTGGTCTCAATATAGGAGTTACTGGAAAAAATTCTATGGCCTGTATTATACAGGATGTCAGACTAGATGATGTAATGGTCTTAAAATGTATTAATTTTGGGTGCCTTGCTATTGGATGCCCAAATTGAGACAGGTTAAGACATGGTTGCATAATATCGAATCAAATGGTGACAAACAGTGGGATCCATTGGAAGTCAGTTTTAGAACACATGAAGAAATATCTTTAACTATGAACTAAAATCTTTAGTTTATTGCACAACTAAATGAGAGAGAGGTGAACTCTGTTAACAATTATTTCATCCTTTCTTCCTCTCTCTTCCCAATCCTCCTCTCCCTTGATCAAAAACTGCCACAATTGAAGACAATTACCCAATCTATTGACTTTAAAATGGGGGCAAGTTTGGGTTCCCTATTCACAAACCCTTCCCTCTCTCACAGTCTTTCCTTCCAAAAGTTGTATAGACTTTTTCTTTAAAAAAATGAAGTTGAGCATCTTAATGAATATGTACTGCTTCAGAATAATAGCTAACCCACTGTAATGCATACTTCATAGAATCAGTGAACTTAGACATGGACAGAATCTATGAGGTTATCTGATTCATCTCCCTGGAAGTGCTGGCTTGATCCCTAGAGTATATT